AACGACGGGCAAACGACGACCAGCGCCCACGCCAATCGACGACCAGCGCCCACGACAGTCGACGACCAGCGCCCACGACAGTCGACGACCAGCGCCCACGACAGTTGACGACCAGCGCCCACGACAGTTGACGACTAGCGCCCACGAAAACCGACGAGCGGCGCACCCCCACGGCCCCAGACCTATGAACGACCCCACGAGCGACGTGGCAAGTATCCGACGCAGATGGACGAGGGACGACGACGACGACGTAACCGCCGCCGTCGTCGTCATTTTATATTGGATACGAGGGAAAACGAGGGACGACGACGACAAGGTCGTCGTCGTCGTTTTCTATTCAATACGGTAAGCACCCGACCGTCTCTATCACCACCCACGTTACTAACACAGGCCCACCACCGTCGACCGCCCAATGGTGGCAACCGCCCACTCCACCAGTGGGCAGTCAACGGCTCGCACATCCCACATCACCCACTGCGTGCAACGATGGTCAACAAACAACGGACGGACGACGACGAAGACACGCCGAGCGCCCACCACCATGAAGACACGCTGGGCGCCCACCCCACGAACGAAGATGAGCGACCACCAACGCCACCTACAAACGGCGACGGGGGCTCAATCATTGCCTATCCCTCACTGCCATCCCATTCCATCATTCCCTCCCCCATTGCCTCCACTCCCCCATTCATTCCCCCATTCCTCCACTCCCCCCTTCATTCCCCCATTCCCCATTCCCTCCATCCCCCATTCCCTCACTGCCTTCCCCATTCCCTCACTGCCTTCCCCATTCCCTCACTCCCTCCCCCATTCATTCACTTCCCCCATTACCTCACTCCCTCTCCCTCTCCCTCACTCCCTAGCCCTCTCCCTCACTGCACACCACCCCCTCCCCTCTCCCTCACTGCACACCATCCCCTCCCCCTCTCCCTCACTTCCCAGCACTCACTCCCCCTCTCTCTCATTGCCTGCCACCCCCTCCTTCATTGCCTATAGCCCCTTTCCCCCTCCCTTATTGCCCACCAACCCCCACCCCCTCTCCCTCACTCCCCTTCTCTATATTTCTTTAATAGTCAATGTAGTAATGTAAATCTATGTAGTCATAACTGATAAATTGCACCTTTGTCTGGTGAAAATTACAGATACATCAACCAAACATTTGTGCTTAATTCAGGATATAGTTTAAAAAGATATTGTTGTAATATATCCTGGTTCAAGATATAGTTGAAAGATATAAGAAATCTTCTTCAAAATGTTTGCACTGACAGGAAATGTTTGTGAAATATTTCTTATTGTACTTGGAAATGTTTACAAGTTGAAAGATCCTGGTTGTGAAATGTTTTTTGACAAATTAAAAAATGTTTGGCTGAGTGAAGAAACCTTTGTGAGATGTTTTTGACTTCAGACATGATTGGGCCCCAAGCATTTCTTGTCAAGTCAAAAGATCTTTGAGTGGATAAGAAATCTTCTTGAAATATTTCTTATTGTATTTGG